GGAGGAGGAGGAGGAGGAGGAGGAGGAGAAAAGGGAGGATAACCTAGAGGATGTACTCAAACCTCAGTTTGACCAGGTAGCGCAGACGTATTTGACGCACGTCGTAAACAATGAACTCGTTGTACAAGAGTGTGGCGGTATACACTTTGGATTCGATGATCTTTCCACAAGGCACCACTACACCATCATCTCTATGACAACAAGAGAAGCACATTTCCGAATGAGGCAATCGAAAAAGCACGTAGGTAGGTAAGCAAACTCTACTTTAATAAATTACGAACTAATTTAAACCATTCTTTGTTCGGTATCGATAAGGACACACATTCACTACCTCCACGTCACAAGATACGGAAAAATAAACCTCCATATCGTGTCAGAGAGGAAACCCACAAAGTAATCCAAGTCGAAGGATCAGGCATATTGCGTCCGACGCCCTGAACACTGTGCTTCCCCTTTGGCAATTGGTTGGCGTTAGAGTCCGCGTACACCAGTGAGTTGATTTCTCCAAGGGAGACCTGAAAGAGAGAGCACACCGATGCACTGCCAAACTCGCTTTCAAGACATTATCTCAAATCCCATGAATGATCCAGCTTACTCCATCGTCACCCGGACTACTTGAGACTACATCTTCAACCGTGTTCCAATATGCCAATATGCCTTCAGTCGTCAATCGTTGACAGTGGCAGACGAGGGAAATTAAATGGCACTTCAAATATCTTTAAAAAGGTTCGACAGAGCATGACCTCTGAGTAGACAATAAAACGCGTCTAGTAGACGCTTAAACTAGAAAATCAGCCCCATAACAACTGTAAGGTTAAACACCATGAAAAGACTTTTAACCGGCAGCATGATGAAATGCGCACTCCAATTGCATAAAGCAGAGTCACTGTTGATGTTCGAACATTAATTTCGCCCACACTCAATGCGGTCTCCACGGTTCCACTGCAAAACACCTTTTGAGAAAGCCCTCAGCGAAAAGATTAAAAGGTAAAAAGGAATCCCAGTCACTTACATGAACCCGATTTAACACTCACTAATCACAGCAGCCATTATAAGATTTTGATGGATTTCGGCTTTGGGATTCACGTTCACTACCTCTAACCAAATAATGCTATGAGGAAGAATCCCACAAAAACCACCGAAGGAGTTACAGGCAACAGAAGTGGATGCAATATACCTCGCTTGGTAGTTTCAAATGATAGATATCTGAAGATTGTCCACAACTCGGTACTAGTC